GTTTTATGGACAGGAGCCCAGAATTATGAACAGGAGTCTGGGATTTTGATCAGGAGCCCAGAATTATGGACACGAGTCTGGATTAGGGACAGGAGCCCAGAATTAGGGACAGGAGTCCGGGATTAGGGACAGGAGCCCAGAATCAAGGACAGGAGTCTGGATTAGGGACAGGAGGTGCTCCTGTGCCTCCAGAGATGACGACTCCAGGTTGTCACACGAAATAACTCCTTCAGAACGCTGGGAGCTGTTTAAGTACAAACGGCAAGGAATGTAAACTTCCCTGCAAAGTCTGTAGGACAAACTCATATTTCAAGGCTCCTCTCCCGCACACGAATTGCCACGGTCGACAGTTTCTATTTATACATCTGCTGCTGCTTCCCAAAGAAATGGAGATGTCCTTGTCATTTCTTTTCTCCGGGACCGCAGTTGAATGCTGAGCTCGGAATCCTGACTGGCAGCACTTACAAATCCATTAACTCTTGATTGGGAATGGGAATTTTTTTACATCTCTGCCTTTGTGGATGGTTTCAAGCGCCTCGCAAGGTTCTGCTTGACTGGAAACCGTGCGGGGTTTGGGTTTGGGAGGATGGGGAGGATCTGGAAGTGCCCAAACAGGGCTCGGAGCAGCGTGGGATGGCGGAAGGAATGGGGTGATCCTAAAAATCCCAAACCATTCCCTGACTCCACGGCTCGGTGGAGTTGCTCCAAGCCCCATCCCTGAAATTCCTGGACAGTTTTGGTCGTTCCCCTCCCGGTTCCCCGTGTCCCTTTTTGCATTTTGCAGCTGCCGTAACAAGAGGTGGTGTGAAAAGGAATTAATGTTCCCGCCGTGCCAGACACCGAGGGAGAAAATCCCAAATGTGCCAGGCTGAAATGTAATCCCATTTGAGGAAATGTTGAAATCATTCCTGCAGAAGGTTAAAAAAATACGGAGCGGGCTGAGTCAGATCCACAGCATGGAAAATTTCATCCCAAATGTTTACGGTTTAGAGATTGAAAGCGAGGCCCTTTTAATGCTGTGTTGGGTAAACTTCACTAATCTGCAAAAAATTCCAGTTCTGCTCGTAATAACAGGAACGGAATCAAAGCTGCAGGGATGAAAAGCATGGGAAGTGGCGACGTTCCACCCGAGACGGGGAAAATCCCATTAAAAACGGGCACAGCCAAGGAACACCGGGGGAAATTCGGGCTCTCTGCAGCGCTCGGAAGCACAAACCCAAATATTCCTGGTCAGCAAAGCGAGGAATTGTGAAGAGCTGGAATAACAGAATATTCCCAGAGCCTGCAGGTTGTCACAGATCCGTGGGATCTGCTGCCTTGGATCCACTTGGTGCCACTCCTGGTGTCCCCGTGCTCCCGGAGCTGTCCCTGCAGGACAAGGCTCCGCCACGGGGCCACAAAGCAAGCTGGGCCTTGCTGGGAGGGGATTAAGGGGTGACATCCCTCGCAGAGGGGACGGGAGTGGCAGTGACAAGTGCCACGTGCTGGACTTGGGGACAGCAGGAGTGGTGGCCTTGCCTGGACTCAGTGCCCTCTTTTCCAGCCTTCATCATTCCATCAGCCTGAATCCATTCCATTGCCATTGCCATTCCCATTGCCACTGCCATTGTCATTGTCACTGCCATTGTCATTGCCATTGTCACTATCATTGCCACTGCCATTCCCATTGCCACTGCCATTGCCATTGCCATTGTCACTGCTATTGCCATTGTCATTGCCACTGCCATTGCCATTGTCATTGCCATTGTCACAATCATTGCCACTGTAATTCCCACTGCCACTGCCATTGCCAGTAACAATCCATTCCATTGCCATTCCATTGCCATTGCCATTGTCACTGCCATTGACATTGTCACTATCATTGCCACTGTAATTCCCATTGCCACTGCCATTGCCATTGTCACTATCATTGCCACTGCCATTCCCATTGCCACTGCCATTGCCATTGCCATTGTCACTGCCATTGACATTAACAATCCATTCCATTGCCATCCCATTGTCACTGCCACTGCCATTGTCACTGCCATTGCCATTGCCATTGTCACTGCTATTGCCATTGTCATTGCCACTGCCATTGCCATTGTCATTGCCATTGTCACAATCATTGCCACTGTAATTCCCACTGCCACTGCCATTGCCAGTAACAATCCATTCCATTGCCATTCCATTGCCATTGCCATTCCCATTGCCACTGCCATTGTCATTGTCACTGCCATTGACATTAACAATCCATTCCATTGCCATCCCATTGTCACTGCCACTGCCATTGTCACTGCCACTGCCATTGTCACTGCCATTGCCATTAACAATCCATTGCCATTGGCACTGTCACTACCATTGCCATTGTCACTGCCATTGCCATTGCCACTGCCATTCCCATTGCTACTGCCATTGTCATTGTCATTGTCACTGCCATTGCCATTAACAATCCATTGCCATTGGCACCACCATTGCCATTAACAATCCATTCCATTGCCACTGCCATTGCCATTGTCATTGTCACTGCCATTGCCATTGTCACTGTCATTGCCATTGCCACTGCCATTCCCATTAACAATCCATTCCATTGCCACTGCCATTGCCATTGTCATTGTCACTGCCATTGCCATTGCCACTGCCATTGACATGCCCATTGCCATTGCCATTGTCACTATCATTGCCACTGTCATTCCAACTCCCATTGCCATTGTCACTGCCATTGCCATTCCCATTCCCACGCCATTGTCACTGCCATTGCCATTGCCCATTCCCATTCCCACTGCCATTGTCATTCCCATTGCCACTGCCATTCCCACCGTCATTGTCACTGTCATTGTCATTGCCATTGCCATTCCCATTGCCACTGCCATTCCCACCGTCATTGTCACTGTCATTGCCATTGTCATTGTCACTGCCATTGCCATTGTCACTGTCATTGCCATTGTCACTGTCATTGCCATTGTCACTGTCATTGCCATTGTCACTGTCATTGCCATTGTCACTGTCATTGCCATTGTCACTGTCATTGCCATTGTCACTGTCATTGCCATTGCCACTGCCATTCCCATTAACAATCCATTCCATTGCCACTGCCATTGCCATTGCCATTGTCATTGTCACTGCCATTGCCATTGTCACAATCATTGCCACTGTAATTCCCACTGCCACTGCCATTGCCATTAACAATCCATTCCATTGCCACTCCATTGCCATTGTCACTGCCACTGCCATTAACAATCTATTGCCATTGGCACTCCCCCTGCCATGCCCATTCCCATTGCCATTGCCATTGCCATTGTCACTACCATTGCCATTCCCATTGCCACTGCCATTGCATTCGCCGTTGCCATTCCCATTGCCACCGCCATTGTCACTGCCGTTGCCATTTCAATTGCCATTGTCACTGCCATTGCCATTGCCATTCCCACTGCCATTGTCACTGCCATGGTCATTGCCACTGCCATTGCCATTGCCATTGCCATTCCCACTGCCATTGTCACTGCCATTGTTATTGCCATTGCCATTGCCATTCCCACGCCATTGTCACTGCCATTGTCATTGCCACTGCCATTGCCATTGCCATTGCCATTCCTAATCCCACTGCCATTGTCATTCCCATTGCCACTGCCATTCCCACCGTCATTGCCACTGTCATTGCCATTGCCATTGTCATTCCCATTGCCATTGCCACTGCCATTCCTACTGCCATTGCATTCCCATTGCCATTGTCATTCCCACCGCCATTGTCACTGCCATTGTCACTGCCACTGCCATTCCCACGCCATTGTCACTGCCATTGGCATTGCCCATTCCCATTCCCATTGCCATTGTCATTCCCCCCGCCATTGTCACTGCCATTGGCATTGCCCATTCCCATTCCCATTGCCATTGTCATTCCCCCCGCCATTGTCACTGCCATTGGCATTGCCCATTCCCATTCCCATTGCCATTGTCATTCCCCCCGCCATTGTCACTGCCATTGGCATTGCCCATTCCCATTCCCATTGCCATTGTCATTCCCCCCGCCATTGTCACTGCCATTGGCATTGCCCATTCCCATTCCCATTGCCATTGTCATTCCCCCCGCCATTGTCACTGCCATTGGCATTGCCCATTCCCATTCCCATTGCCATTGTCACTGCCACTGCCATTCCCATGCCCATTGTCATTCTCATTGCCATTCCCACTGCCATTCCCATTGTCATTCCCATTCCCATTCCCATTGCCATTCCCACACGGCACCACGATCTCCCACCCGGGCCCTGGGTGCTGCTGCCCCCATCCCACATCCACAGGGAGCCACAACTGGGAAAAGCCCTCCGAGGCCACGGAGCAGGACCTTGCAGAAACATCAGGCACTTCCCAAACTCCTCCTCAGGAACTTTGGAACTCGTTCTCCCTACCTTGCCTCCGTGCTGCTCCCTGCCCCAGCCCCGTGCCCCGAGGGAGTGTCGCAAGCTCCAGCTCTGACATCATTTATTTACCTTGATCAACCTTAATTAAAGAACGGAGCAATGGCTCCATCATAAAGCTCTAGCACAGAATCCTGGGATCATTCCGGTTGGAACGGATCTCCTGCTGGCTGACCCTGCCCTGAGTTCCTTGGACACCTCCCTCCCACTCCAAACAACGTTCCCAGTGTCCCCCACCTTCTATTTCTCTGCTCCCTTTGGGATTTATTCATTAGGATTTCAAAAAGCTTTTCCTGCTTTAAAAATCCCATTCCAAGTGTGTCCAAGGAAAAAGCCAAACTGATTTTGCATCACGAATCCAGCATGAAATAGAGTTATAGGTACAAAACATAGATAAATTAGAGGTGAAATGGATATAAAATACTAAATGTCATCACAGCACTTTTTTCACACCATAAAAAAAATGGAAAATTGAAACAAATCCCTGTTCCCACCCTCACGCCGAGCCCAAAAAATGAGGATGAGGGCTTGAAGGCCCCCGGATTTTATTTCTCGTCCATTGATCCCACTTCCCCCACCCCAATCAGGGAGGAAATTCCATGTTCTTACTTTGTATTCTGGAATTGACAAAGGGAGGAGAGAGATTGTCATGTGAGCCGAGGTCTCTGCTCGCCATGTGGTCATAGTGAGTCCCATCTCCATAGTTCTGGCAAGAAATCGGGAAAAAACACAATTTTACACCTTGGAACAGCCTCGTCCACACCAAAAGTCCAGATCTCCCTACTCAGTCTGAAGGCTGCTCAAAGAAACATCACTCCCTTGGGTTTTTTTTCCCTGCTGATCGGCCGGAATGAAACATTCCGGAGAGTTTTTGGCGCCGTTTCCAACGCTCAGCTCAGAACGAGAATCCTGACCGGAGTCGTGGGATGCGGTCCCTGAAATCCTACGTGGGGCAAATCAGCACAAAACCCTCTGGGAAGAGTCTCCTGCTTAAAGCATGGAAGCAAGCCTCTGGAGGAAGCAGGTCTCCCGCTGTGGGAATTCCATTCCAGCAGGAAAAAGCGAGGTCAGGCTGTTTGCGGAATAATTCCGCGACTTAATGCCCGGCCTCGATTCAAATTCCCGAATCCTTCCCAGGCTCGTGCTCCTTTTCTTTCTATCTCCTCACTTCATTCAGGGGTTTGGAGGCAGAAATAATCGGTGTGTGCCAATTCCCGATTTCCTTTTCAAAACATTTTTCCCTCGGAAGCAATACAAGTGTCAAGGGGAAAAAAAAGGGCAGGAAAATCAAACTGACAGATGGAAGCCGGGAATGACGTCAGGGATGCAAAGCAGGACGCAAGAAGAAAAGGTGCTGGGATTCCTTCCTCGAGGCAGGGCATGGGGAAATGAGGGCTCCCCTTGGGCTGCCCCCAGGGAAAGGGACACGCATTGAGGGCGAGGAGGGGATGAAGATCCTGCTCTTCCTCGCCGTTCCAGGCCCTGGAGCTGCCAGAGTCCCCATGCTTCAAGTTAATTGGGAAACGATTAAGAAGCAATTGAAACAAATTTAAATAAGGGCAGAGGAAGGCACTTTTTGCTCTTTGCGTGTGTTTGTAGGGAATAATCAGCGGTGCCGCGCCCAGGGCAGGGCTGGGATGCTCCAGTTGGGAACGGAGCTGCCGGCAGCTCGGGAGGATCCAGCTGTGCTGCTGGAAAAGCTGCTCTTCCCACCAAGGCATCCCCATCCCGAGGTGTCAAAAAAATGTGGATAACTGTCCACGGGAGCAATTGAACTGACTGGGCCCAGCTGGCTCCCAGATTCCACTTTCCCCCAGGGAATTCTGCTCCTGAGCAGGGAGCACGGGAGGTGACCTGGAGCAGAGGTGGGCTCAGGGGATGCGCCAAAATTCCCCAAATTGCAGCCGGGGACACGCTGAGGTGGCTGCTCCGGTGACAATCTTGGCGTCCCCTCTCCGGCTCGGTCACGGAGTGGCCAGGGAATGCAAGCCCCAGCAGAGGGATGGGCGCTGGCCCTCACCTGCAATCCCCAAAAATCCCTAAAACTCCGAGGGCAGAGGGTGAAACACCGGGAAGCAGCCGCGCTTCGGGGTGGGGGGGGGGCTGACAGACCCCGTCAGTAATTGGCTCGTTAATATGCACAGAAATCACGGAACGCTTTGGGTCGGAAGGGACCTTACGGATCATCTCATTCCACCCCCTCGCTGGGCTTCTCACGGAGCCAAGCCCAGCCGAAAACGGAAACGTTCAAAGGAGCCATTTTAATGAGAACACGAGTTCCCAGGCCGGCTTTTCCGCACGCTCCGAGGCCGCCTCGGCGCCAGGATCGCGCATTTCCATCTGCAGGAAGCGTGGCTGGGGGATAAAGATTAGATTCTACTTACCCGGGATGGACTCGGATGTCCTGCATTCCCCCAGGACCCTGAGCTAGTTCTGTCTTCTACATCTGGGGACAAAAAAGTTCTTTAGGCTTCGTGGAAATCATTCCCGCCTTTTGCGAGGGCACTGGGAAATTAACGCTTCAAATTAATCTCCCGGTGCCTTTAATTAAGAAGAAGGAGCCGAGGCCAGGAAGTGGCTCCTGACCCTCCCCCGGCTGAAATGAACTCATTGAAATTCACGGCGGGAAGGAGCCGGACCCTCGGGAATGCGCAATTCCCGCCTGCTGCCTCCACAGCCAGCAGCTCCCATCCTGCCCGAGCGTCCAGGGACTGACGGACGCTCGGGGAGGACAGAGCTGATGTGGTTCCCAGAATTCCTCCTGCGGTTTTCACGGGATGGTTCGGGATGGATGGGATTTTAAGGATCAAGAAGTTCCAGCCACCTTCAAGTGTCCCACCTGGAACGCTTTCCTGCTTAAAGCCATTCTCTTTTTAGGTGAAACCCTGGGATCAGTGGGAATCGCAGCTGGAGGAAGGGAGAAGGTCCAGAGCAGGTGCCGAGACCGAATCCGGGGCATTTCCAAGATTCCACACCTGCCACGTTCACTGGGTTTAATTCTTTCCCCCAATTAGGATTTCTATTCTCTCCGTAATAGATGAACACGTTAATAGCACGAGACACTCGGAGGTAAATATTTAATTAAGCTCCAGGAAAAAAAAAAAAAAAAAAGAGGAAAGAAACTGTGGATCATTTACCTGACAGATCCGATCAACCATTCCATTAGGTTAATTAGGCGGATTTTTAAAAATCAGTTGTGTTATGTAACAGGCAATTAACTGCGGGGAGCCCCGACGGGTGTTACGGGATGTTCTCGCGGGGGTTCTGGTGGGCAGTGCCCCACCCCGGAGCACGGCTCCCAAACCCAGCAGGAGCACGAGGGCTTCCACTTGGAGGGATTCTGGAAGGAAAGGCATCGCAGACCCTTGGGCTGGAAGGGATTGTAGGGATTATCCAACACTGCGTGGGAACCTTCCTCCAGAGCGGGGACACTTCCAGGGATGGGGCACTTCCATGGGGACTGTGCCAGTGCCACCCCCTCAGAGGGAGGGATTCCCTGAAGGTCCCCGGCCTCCTTCGGAAGGGGGACTTGAGCCACATTTCCAGCAGTCGCATCCCAATTTTCCTGGGATTTCACCCGAAAAGCGCCAAGCGCTGCCGACCCTCTGCGCAGCATCAATGAGGAGCCCTAATGAAGTAACCCTGACGGATAAATCCATTTCTTTGTCCCTAATCAAATCCAAGCAGGTTGACATAACCCAGGAACTTAATCCAGTTATTCCCTGGTAATTGGAAAAAGGCCCTTTAGTTCTCATTAAAACAATCTTTGGGGATGGGCAGAGAAGGCGGCTCCGGCTTTAATGCTGCCCAGGAACAGCAGCCCTTAAGGAACCCGGCTGGATTCTCCAGTTCCAGGTGCTCCAGCTCCAGCTGAGCTCCAGAGGAAAAGGAGGAGAAAACACTTGAGGAACCCGGCTGGATTCTCCAGTTCCAGGTGCTCCAGCTCGAGTTGAGCTCCACAGGAAAAGGAGGAGAAAACACAGATGGATCCAGAACAAAGCAGGCTCCAGCTGGAGGAAAAAGCAGGATTTTTGCAACATTCTCAATTTTCAGCTGGGATATGGAGAGCTTCACAAGGTCAAGGTTGGGACAGACCTCGTCACGGCGGGTTTGGGAATTCTCCTCGGGAAATGTTCCATAAAGAAGGTGGGACTTCAAGGATCACCAGTGATGGGTTAGGAGGGACTGAAGGATCATCTCACCACACAACTCCCGCTGTCCCAGGCTGCTCCAAGCCCCGTCCAGCCCAGAACCCTTCCAGTTCAGCCCGGAGCGAGATGATCCCCGAATCCCAACGGGATTTGCAGGAATTGTGTCAAAACCAAGGAGGGTGGGGGAGATCCGAGCCTGCTGATTATTTTCCTATCGCAGCAGGATAAACAGGCACTTTGGGATTGCTGCTTCCCAAAACACCTTAAACTGGGGCTGCTAATCCCAATTAATTTCAACAGACCTGGTTGGTGGATTGAGACCTTTCCTGCTGTTTTGCTCTTCAAAAGAACTTGGATTTATCCGAGTATTAGGTTGAAAAACTACATGAAAAAAACCAAGCTCAACAAAATACAGAAGAAGGATTAAAGAGGAAGATCAAGGGAAGAAGAAACCTGGATATTTGATAAGCTAAAGGACTGGAAAATTTAAAATGCACATCCATTGATCCAATCTTTTTTTGAAGGTTTTGCTCTAAATATCATCAGGACATGAGAAGAAAAGCCCAAAACAACAGGCAGGGAGGTGATGTGGAAGAAGGATGGGATGAAGGCCTCAAATACTTAGAAAATTCACTTCTGCAATTAAACAGGCATTTCATTTTCTGCCTGAATTTCCAAAGCTTCCACAAATATCCACGGAGAGTTGGAGACACCGCTCCGAAAGAGCAGCAGCGTAAACAAACCTGAACTGTTCCCCCATGCCGTGTTCCCAACAAAGAATTCCATTGTGCTGCTGGGGGTGAGCTCATCATTCCCCACATTGTCCCACGAGCCAAACACAGCTATTTTTTTCCAGGCCATGGATTTTGTGTTGCATCCCAGAATTCCAGCCTTGAACCAGTTTTTCCCAAGTCCTCCTTGCTCCCTGCAAGTCCTTGCTGTGAAGGAGAAGGTGGAATTCCAACCTGGAGTTGTCCCCGCTCCTTCAAACCCTTCCAGCCCAAAACATCCCATAACTGGGATGGCTGAGAGGGCTCCCAAGAGTCAGAGGGGACTTTCTTATTTTAGCTTTGTTCCCTTGCTGGGAGAAACGTGCACTGAGCTGGAGAATAAATAAATTCCCGAATTTCTGCCGTTCGGGGAGCCTGTGAATCAGGATGTTCTGGGATGATGCTACGAACAAAACACTCCTGGATGTGGACTGCAGTGCAGAATTCCTACTGGGAATAATCCAAGATATTATCTTCCTCTCTCCCTGACGAGGAGGGAACCGGGTGGGGATTGGGCTCTGCTCCCAGGGAGCAGGCGCGGGAGGAGAGGGAACATCTCTAGGAAGACGCCTTGAAGGCTCCTTCATCTCGTACCTCTGAGCTCTGCCCTTTGCTCCGGCAGCATCTGCTCCCTTTCAACCTGCCCATCTGCTCTGCAGAAACTTCCAGAGCTCCAGCCTGTTCCCGCAAGGCAGCAGCTCCTTGCTGAGGGGACTCATTAAAACTGGAGAGCCTCAGAAACCACCTGGAAGGAGAAGATGGAAACGTTTCCGTGGCTCGCCCCGCCCGGCCGGACACAGGACAGCTCGGGCACTCTCCTGGTTTCAGATCATCTCCTAATCAGAGAACACCTCTGGAATTCCAGCTGGGAGAGAAGCCCCGGCTTTCTCCGAGGTGTTTGGAGCACATTCTGTACTTTTTCAACCGACGGGTCATTAAGAACTAAATTATCCTTACGAGCGTCTTCTGAAAGGAATAAATGACGGAAGGATAAATTCAACCACATCTCCCTGGAAGATGTTGGAAGACCCCGTTGGAATATTCATCCCTGTCAGGAGGTGGGAACAAACAGAGGTGGGAACTCTCCACCCACCGTGGCTGGAGGGTCAGAGGGGCTCAGCCTTCCTGCCACCAGCAGGGCTTGGGGACATCTCGAGGATTGTCCCAGCAGTGGAGCCGCACATCCTGTTTACAGCCCCGAGCCGCTTCCCAAGGCGTCATCGGAGCGTGGCAATTGTTGTCCTTCGCAATATGGTAATTGGGATATTTTTACCCAGCTCCGGAACATATTTACAGCCCACAGCAGACTTTCAACAACAATGCAACTTGGAAAGCTGTAAATATGGGACAATCATCCCCCCAAACACCCAGCTATCCTTCAACACGTCTCGGCATTTGGGACGGCAGCTCCTCTCCGAACATATGGCGGGGAAAGCTTTGCCTTGGCGAGGAACGAGGGGCTTCGCTCCCTCCTGCTTTAGTTCCTGGGGGGCTTGAAGGGACAAGAACGTCAGGAGGCAGCACTGGGGTGGGCATGGACACCATCCCATTCCCTGCAGGAAATCCTCAAATCCTACAGATTTTGATGGAAAGGGGTTTTAAGCAAGGGCGGGACAATTCCCAGCGCCCAAGGCTGCTCCGAGCCCCCGGCCTGGGACACTTCCAAGGATCCGGGAACACTCAGGGAGAATTCCTGCCCCAAATTCCACCTAGCCCTGCCCTCTGGAAGCCGTTCCCCCAGTGCTGTCCCCCTCCCATCAAGAACTTGGAGGGAATTTCCAAAAATCCAGCACGGAGCTGGAGCAGCGGAAAGGCCCGGATGATTTAATTAGCCGTGTTTAGAAGCGAGTAAACAAAGAGAGATGGCTTTAATGAAAAGGGACAAACAGCATGGAAGCAGCTGGAAGGGTTTTCATTTTCTTTTTTTTAATTTTTTTTTTTATCCCAACTGTTATTTTATTCCAGTCTTGAGTCACTTCTATCCCCAAATAAAACAATTTTAATTTAGGCCAGAAATCCGTGATGGGTTTTATTCACATGGGCGGTTAAAGCTGTGGATTCTCCATCCCTGGAAGTGTTGGAGCAACCTGGGCTGGTGGAAGGTGTCCCTGCCCTTGGAATGGGAAAAGCAGGATTTCCTTGGAGGAAAAGAAGGATTTTCCTTGGAGGAAAATTCCAGGAAAAGCAGGATTTCCTTGGAGGAAAATCCCAGGAAAAGCAGCATTTCCTTGGAGGAAAAGCCAGGAAAATCAGGATTTCCTTGGAGGAAAAGCAGGATTTTCCTTGGAGGGAAAGCCAGGAAAGGCAGGAGTTTCCTGGCAGGAAAAGCAGGATTTTCCTTGGAGGAAAAGCAGCATTTCCTTGGAGGAGAAGCACTCTCCTGGAGCCCCTTCAGTGCCCTAAATGTGATTAACCAACCAAAAAGCCCCGAGATGCACATGCAGACCTTCCAACAGCAGCTCACCAACGCAGCTCTCCCAACCCAGCCAGGAGTTTTCCCGAAAAAGCAGCAATTAGGAAAGTGA